TCGTTCGATCTGGGGCCCCAGGTCGCGGATGCAGGGCGGAGAACTGATCACCTGGAGCCGTGTCCGAGCCTTGCTGACCACCTGAAGCCGTGTTCGAGCCGTGCTGACCACCTGAAGCCGCGTCGGAGCCCTACTCACCACCTGGAGCCATGTCCGAGCCTTACTGATTACCTGAAGCCTTGTCCGAGTCCTACTGATTACCTGAAGCCTTGTCCGAGTCCTACTGACCATCTGAAGCCCCATCCAAGACCTACTGACCACCTGGAGCCGTGTTTGAGCGCTAGTGACCACCTGAAGCTGTGCCCGACCTCTTTTGACCACCTAAAGCTGTGTCCGACCCCTGCTGACCACCTGAAGCCGTGTCCGATCCCTACTGGCCACCTGGAGCTGTGTCCGACCCCTACTGACCACCTGAAGCCGTGTCCGACCCCTGCTGACCACCTGAAGCCGTGTCCGACCCCTGCTGACCACCTGAAGCCGTGTCCGATCCCTACTGACCACCTGGAGCTGTGTCCGACCCCTGCTGACCACCTGAAGCCGTGTCCGATCCCCACTGACGCAACGCCGGCCACCAGCAGCCCGGACCTGCCCCGCCCAGCTGGGCTGCAGCGGCCGGCGCCGGTCAGCTGCGGCTGTACCGGCGGCGCCAGGCTGAGGAGTGAGTGAGGACTGTGTGTGGCGCGTGCGCTGGTGGTCCGCGCCGTCACCAGAGTGTGTGCTACATGTCGGCACTGTCAGGCTGGCTAAGTCCAAGGCATCTGAAGCGTGGCGGGAAGGACGCGTCTGATCAGCCTGGCCGGTCCATGGCTGATCCGACATCGAATATTCGTCATTGTATCCGCTAGTGCGAGAAGCACAGACTTCCAAGTAGGCCGGAGTTTGGGGCTTACAGGCGTGCGAGTGGTTAAGGCAATTGTCGAACTCGAAAAGGTCCCGAGATTGATCGCTGGCCGCTGCACTTCCGGCAACCCAACGCGACGACTCGTGATGTAGATCGGGTCGTGATGTTAACCTGCCAGCTTGGTGCGTCACTGAATGGTGCAGCATTCGTGAGCTGTATTTTCAGGAGCTGCATGTATTCCAGACGATCTCAGTCGGAAATTGGGAGGTCGGACGAAGCCTGATCGCTGTCTCGCGGCGTTTGCGCGCGATGGCGCAGGGTTATGGAATGGAGTCCGGGCATTCTGTCCAGATATTGTCGCAAGAAGCGTTACATGGGCGCAGTTTTGCGAAATGAGTTGAGGTAGGGGGACTGAACAGTGAAAAATGACGCAACCTACCCCAAAATAGTCATGAAACGGGCTCCTCCCCGGATTTGGTCCACTTTCTTCCCAACTACTTTTTTGAGAGACGCTGGAAGCCAAGGTGGGGCCGGAGTGCTCCGCCGAACTGGATAGGAAACAGTGCCCCGAGTGGGTATGAGTTTGCACTAGCGCGATAGCCAGCAGATGCCAGCCTGTTGCCGGTACCATCGCCGGGAGAGAGCGGATCGTTGTGCGGCCGCACGGATGAGACCGACAGGCAGCAGCTGTCTCGCTGTGGTGGCGATGCGCACCTCCTTCCACTCCGCGCCTCCGTTTCGCCGGCGGCTCGTCAACCACGCCAGTTCAGCAGCGGAGGAGGTGCGCGGCACCGCTTCTGATCGGATAGACATGGGGAGGGGTGCGGCACACGCGGCCCCTAATGGCTGTCCCGGCCGTCGGCCGTCCGGCGGTGGTGGGTGCCGATGCTGACGAATGTCATGCGGTGCGCCAGTACATGGTGCGGTGAAGTATTAACTCTCATAGGAAAAGAATGTCTGACCTGCCGCAGAAATTCAGCAAGTGTCAACCAGGCAGACATCTTGGAATCGTTCGTGCCAGTGTAGCCGTGGATTGCTGTCAGGCCTTCGTTTCCTCGAGAATTTCCGGTTACAATCGGCGGAATCTTCGGCGGCCTTTATAGAACGTTCTTGCTGGCGAGCACGTATCTTTTCTCCCAAAACAGTTCGTGGACGGAAATCAAAACGTCCGCGAGGAAATGCGTACTTCTGGGGGGGGGGGGGGGGGAGAGGGGGGAGTGGTGACAGAAGCAAACCGCGGACAGCCACCCTGCGACTTTTGCCCTTACTAAATGTTCGGTAGCTGCACATTTTGGAGCTGCGGTCTCTTGAGTGGCGGAACCCAACTTTAAATAACCAGCGTCGCTTTTTCCTAAGTGCAATTCAACCGCCGAGCACCTCACACGTCTGGAATATGATATGTACAGATGGGAACGAAGGCCTGTCGACTGAGCGCCGAACCGACCGGGCCGGCGAGACCGCCTGTCTGGTGGTGATCTTATGTGTGATTATAACGTAATGCAGAGGCCAACGAGGCCTCTGCGCCGTTGAATCGTCTCAGCGGGGAGATTTCTCGTCTCGGCAAGACGGCTTGGTCTAAGGGGGCGACGCTTGAGTTCAGCAGGCTGTTCATCTGATTCCTCAATAGCTGGGTCAAAGGGAACGCGGCACGATTGCCCGCGCTGAATCCAGTCCCTCTCCTCATGTTGTAAACTAAATTTGTGGTAGGTACAGCGTGGTGGTACTTGTACACCTCATTCCTCGCCGTTCGCCGTCGGGCACTCGTGGTTAGCGTAATCTGTTCACATACGTACAAATGCTATGATGCCCCCCGTCAAAGATTGATGAGGGAGTCGCGTGGTCCCAGTGCCCCCCCCCCCCCCTGAATACGCCGCTGGCCAAACTGACACCTTGGCAGAGGTCATTGCGGCGTAACCGACGACGTCGCTCGTGGCCATCCGATGGCGGCGCGCGGCAGCGCCGAACCGGCGCCAATCGGCCGGGCCAGCAGGCACCCACGTGCGGCGGCGTCGGAGTCCTCGTCGTCTCACCGGCCGATATTGATCAGCGGGGCCGGTCGGCCAGGTTGCGCTGCCGTCGCCGGCCGGGCCGGGCACCTGCCCACTTTTTACCGGGCGGCCGCAGAGGCGTGGCCTCGACGGCCGCCTGCCGGGCGCGCTTCGCCGGCTGCCCGCCAGGTGGCAGGCCGTGTCGCGTCGGCCGACGACGGCGCCCCGATCCGGGCGGCAAACGCCGCCGCCGGTCATCGACGAGACGCGGCCGGCGCGGGCCGAGGACTTTGCGAGGGGTCGGCGCGGCGACACGGTCGCAGCCGGGTGACCGACGCCGCCGGGCCCTTGCCGGCGACGACCGTCGCGCTCTGCCCACTGTGCGGCGCCGCGCATCAGCTGGCGCGTGCGACTTGTTCGGCGCAGTAGTCAGCTGTTGGCGGCCTGCGCCACAGGCCCATTGACAGCCTGGCGGTGACGCGGGCGGGCCGGCGCTGCTGGGGACGGAGGACACGGGGATAGGACGGCCGGCGGCAGGTACGTGCATCGTCGGCGGTTTCCTTTTCCGACCGGACGCAGCTGGAGAAGGCGGTGCTTCCCGCTCCCCGCGCTTTACCCCACCCGGGAAGCGGTGTCATCGCCCGGAGTATCTGGATGGTGTGCGTGTGTGGGAGAGGCTCTCCTGGGGTCGCTGGCGGGGCCGGGGCGGGCTGGCTGGTCGGGTTGCCGAGCCAATTCGGGGCCCACGCCGGTCGCTTCGGGGATGAGGCCTATCAGTGGTTTTGACAGGGGCAGATGTAGGTTCCGGAAGTTGTCGCGGACGGGAGAGCCGTCATACCAGATTCGTGGGAGTCACTGTGACAATGCAGCTGAGCAAGAGCTGAGAAGGCCATCAAGTGCACGCGGTCAACGCCCGGCTGTGCGCGCTTGCACGTGGCCAGTTCCTGGACGGCGTACATCGCGCTTCCCCTGGGACCGCCCCTGGCGAATCAGCCGCAAATGAAGCCGCGCGACCGCCATCGCGACCGACGGGCAAAAACGGCGGCGGCAGGAGGGGGCGGGGACACCTCGGCAGCGTCTCTGCTCGTCGCCGGCCGCCGGGTGCCGGGTGCTGCGTGGGTTGGCCGTCGGCCGTCGGCCGGGGGTTGGCAGGCAGCGCCAGCGGCGCGCCGGTGTCCGTGACGGGTGGGCCGTCAGCGGCCGCACGGCCCTCGCCCTGATTGGTCGGCCGGCCGGGCGCCGCCGGCCGCGCTGCAGCGGCGGCGACGGCCGCCGGGCCGCCCGGTCACCGGTCCGGCCACCCTGATAACAGGCGGCCGAAACTGGGACGGCGCTGCTTCGCACGGCCGCGCCGCTATCGACCACGGCGGCCGGCCCGCCGCTGTGCCGTGCCGCGTCGCCGTGGCCGCCGAGTGCACGGCGTCACGACACTCGGTCCGGCGGTCACGTGCGGCCGTAGTCGACGGCTTGCTGCCAGCGGCCGGCTGCAGGCGTCGCCGGAGGCGCTCGGCCGAGGAGGGCGGCTGATCGCGCGCCGGCCAGCGTGCGTGCCACCGTGTTTGTGTATGCCGCACGTCCTTCGCGTCGCCCGTGAGGAAACGCAGGCTGTTGCCGTGCTACTTTGTCGGCGTGTTTGGAGGGTGGTCGGCTCGCGGGGTCCGTTGGCCGCTCCGGCCGGGAGTGGGGTAAAAACCTGCCGAATGGCGAATCTGCGGCGAAGATTTGGTGGGGCGAGCCGGCCTCCGAGCCTACGGCAGGCGATCGTCCTGTTGCATGCCACCAGGGCGGCGTCGCCGTCGTGGTCGTCTGTGTGCGACCCCCCCCCCCCCCTCTCCCCCCCATACACTCGGCGGCCGGCGCCTGGTGGTATCAGTCGGAATCCCCTCAAGCGCTGGCTCCTACTGATGACCGGGGCGCGTCCAGCAGCGGCTCGCTGTGACCGCCCGGCCGCAGCAGCCCCCCCCCCCCCCCCTCCCTCTCCCCTCCCACAGCGAGGCGACGCATCCCGGCTGATCCGTCCGTCCACTCGGCCGCAGCCCATCCCTGTCCCCCTCCCACAGCGAGGCGACACATCCCGGCTGACCCGTCCGTCCCCTCGGCCGCAGCCTCCTCCCTGTCCCCTCTCACAGCGAGGCAGCGCACCTCGGCTGACCCGTCCGTCCCCTCGGCAGGGCCGTGAATCAGATGAACGACCACGGCGTGAGCAACGGCGGCGGCGGCGGCGGCGGCGGCGGCCAGTCTCTGGACGGTCTGGGCGGTGGCCGGCCGCCGCGGCCGCGGCCTAACGGCCGGCCGGGCATGCCGTTCGGCGGCCTGTCCGGCCAACCGGCGCCGCAGGCTGACTTCCCGCTGCGCATCCTGGTCAACAGCGAGATGGTGGGAGCCATCATCGGCCGCCAGGGCAACACCATCCGCCAGATCACGCAGAGCACCCGCGCCAGGTGAGGGGAGACTGGCAGATCAGGCAGAGCACCCGCGCCAGATGAGGGGAGACTGGCAGATCAGGCAGAGCACCCGCGCCAGGTGAGGCGAGACTGGCGGGCAGGTCAGATGGAGGGCCCGCGTCGCCTGCCGTTGAAATCGCGACGGCCTTTGATCCGGGTATGATCTCGTCCGACGCGGTCAGATACTGCCTGCGATGACCAAGTCGCGATGGATTAATCGCGTCGCGACTGGGGCGTGATATTGCTGGCTTGCCGCGTCACCCTTGCTCAGCGGCTTCCTGGTACTGTTGGAGTGGGTGTCCTCCCTGCAGTGCAGGGGCGGGTACAGATGGAACGGCGTCGTGCACCGCCGTGCCCGGGCATTAACCCGAGAGTGGGAGCGTGTGTGACTCAGTGTCGCCCTCCCTCACTGTCTAGGACACGCTCCGCCTGACGGTCAGCAGCCCATTGCATCTGGTCGTTGCCGCGCCGCTCAGTCGGAACAAGCGGGTGCGACACGTGCGGCTGATGTAGTAATGTGCCGTGCTTCGTGTGTTGCGGGGCATGGGCGGCTGGTGACCTGTCCTTGGCCTGATGGCCTTGGCGCTTTGGCCGGCTGACGCATACAGGTCACCGATGGCAGCCAGCGGTGCCCAGTCGCGATGAGTCCGCGTAAAATGACGGGTCATCGGCGCGCCCCGCAGCCCCAGTTGTCGTTATCAGTCACAATGAGCGTATGCTTAGCGTGTGACTAATACGGGGAATACTAGTTCGTTCCTGTGGGATTTGCGGAGCGTGGGCGACCAGTGATGTATTCTCTGCCTGATGACCGGTCATGTCACCAGCGGGGTTCCGCCCTGCGTTGCTAGCAGCGGGGTGAGTTGGGGAGGTATGGCGTTTTGACAGGGTGATCATCTGACTCGTTGCTGGGAGGGCGGACGTGGCTGCGATGCCGACCAGGACTGCCTGTTTCCCACTATGCCGGAAGCCCGCGGGTCTCCTTGCGGTCAGCTGTGCCAGCCGTGTGCCGAGGGACAAGTTTCTGGATAGGTGGGGTAAAGCTGAACAAGACTGAACGGCGCCAGAATGCTGGGTGTCAATGTGAATGGAGGCGGAGAGAGACTCAAAAGTTGGTCCAGGTGACTCAGAGCAACGAATATCAAACAGCAAATACCAGCTGAAGACGTTGGCACCCGCCGTTGGGAATATCGTAGCGGTACGTGCGGCATGTGATTGCCCAGCGCCGTGTGGAAGCCATTGGCACAGAAACGCGCAGCATGTCTGGTGGGATAGTGAGCTTCTGAGCCTTGTCCAGCCCGGTACGTACGTAGAGCCGATGGGAGGCCTGGCGAGCACACACCTGAGGAGCTCGCCAGGCCAGGGCAGTATATATGTATATATATATATATATATATATAAATATATATGTGTGTATATATGTTAATATCGTTCCGGCATGGGGGTTACTCGCGCCGTTGGGAGCGTGACACCATCCGTCATATCACCCAGATCACCCGCGCTCTGTGATCGCAACGCCATACGCCAGATCGCTTAGATGGCCCGCTCTCTGCGAGAAACGCCATGCGCCAGACCACGCAGGGCACTCGCGCCATGTAAAGTGAACCCGTTCGTGTGTCCGTAGTAGGTGAAAGCAGCGTCATGTCACACGAATGCTATACAGTCTGGCGTCTCTCGTGCCGTGGTAGGTGCGCGTCACACTACGCAGGCTCGTAGAGTCGACGCCACGCGGTGGTAACATGTGACGCGTGCCGCGGTAGCTCGCACCGCGTACGCGAGAGGAAGGCAGTGCCGTCCGGCCTAGCGGCAGACCCGCCCGCGCCGGGTGGTGATGCCGCGACGGCGGGCTTCAGTCAGCCCGTCCGTGTCGGGAGGAGGTCACACCACTGTACAGCAGGCAAACGACGTCAACCGTGCGTCAGACGTGGACGTGGTTTCGGGATGCTTCGGCGAGCGGTGCGGCTACTGGACGGCACGGCACGGCTGCGGGCGCGCGGCAGGGGCTGAACCGCCGGCCGAGTAGCCAGAGGCGGCCCCGTCCGCAGCGCGCCCCACGCGTGTGGCTGCGGTGCTCGCTGGCGGTGTGTCCGAGGCGGCCACCCAGGGCGGCAGCGATCGTTCGGACCTATGCTTGATGGCGCCGTAGCGCGGCGTTCTTCTTTTGGTACTCACCCCGCTCCAACTGCGAAAGAAAGATGTATCGGGTCGGGATGGGTGAGAAGAGTTACAGCTTTCCAAGAAAGCTTAAGCAAGCCGGAAGCTTCAGTGAGCAGGACTAGTGGCACGTGCGGTAACCTGACCTGGCCCTCCGTCCGATTCTTACCGGCTCTGCGAAGAGCTGCGTGCGAAACGAGGTCAGCTTGAGTTATGTTGCGAATGTTTTGGTCGCGGCTGCTGTTCGAGACCGGTTTCGGGGAGGATGACACAGGCCTCCTCCCGATTGACTACTGCGTACCTACGAGTCACACAGGGCTGAGATATCCGGGTGTTGCGTAGACGACATGGCACATTCACACACAGGAAGCGCGAGAAATTTTACGTTTGCTTCTGCTCTGGTTTTGGAATTCCTACGCGACCACTTAAAAAGTATCCTCCAAGCGGGAAGATTGATGTTATGCGTTCGAACGCGCGTGACTGACTGCATGAAGCAGCCCGCACCCTTCTCAGTGCGACAGTCCGCTCTCTCACCATTCAAGGAGTTCTTCCTCGACAAAGATATTTTGCATTTCTGGTGTAAGGATGGAAATATCCACGTTCTCGAAATCCTTACGAAAAGACGAAAAATTGTATTTGAATTAGCCGGTCCGACGGAAGGAATTTCATTGGACTCCACGCTCATCACTTTCGTTTACTTCACTGTTCCTAACCTATGCATTATGAAGTGTCCTGATTGCAGTCGTCGACCTAAATGCAATAAATGTCATGAAAGCTGTATCTAAGCAAAAATATAGACAGATTTGAGACCATTGCCAAGCGAATGCAACCAATCGTCATCCCATGACTTTGAGTTCTCCCCTGTGGGTTAAGCACAATGGGTTTTCGAAGTGCGCTTTTGGCTCGGGAAACTTTGTTTACCTGGATGCTTCGCTTGTTGCAAAGTTGTGTTTACAAAGCAGGTATGCACCGCAGACTCCCGTGCTCCGTTGACGGACGTTTTCAAACCTCCACCGATGCTCTTCTCACTAAGTGGCTTACGCCGCCCACCGTACCAATCACAAACGTTCATTTTTACTGACGTCATCTATACCCATAATGCATACACATAAATACATGATAATAGTTCCTGGCGGAATACATCCTGACCGCCACAGCTTGAGGTGTACAAAGGGCCTAATTGTTGGTGTTTGCAGGCCGCTTTTTCTCTAATCGTGCCAATTTTCACCCCCTATTTTGAAGTAGATTAAAGTGAAATCCTCGTGCACAGTGGTAGAGACTACGATGAATATCTCACTTGAATGTATTATAGGCACCAACCAAGATCGCCTATTTCAGAAATTAGGCCTCGGCTACAGAAAAAGAAAGGAGTGTAGTGCAGTGTCGAAATGTAACTGAGTAATTTGAACTCAACCACTTGTAAATTCGTGTGCTGATTTCACCGTGGTGCTGCAGCGACACTTAGTGCGATTATGCGACACAGGTATTCGTGACGCTCTACACAAGTATATTTTTTAACTATGACCTAGAGCCGGCACACTCACTTTGTGAGTTACGCTTCCTGTTGCTGAACACGGCGTGAAACTGCATATAGTGATTGCGCATACATTAGCTCCTAGAAAGCACGACGACTGGGCCGGACCTTGTAAGTTTGCCATATTCCTCACTGCACTAGTAAAACCGCCGGAAAAACTGGCGCCGTGTTGGCTTCTTGCATCGCTCGCTACCATGAAAAGTATGTGTGATGTCGCTCTGCAGCTTTTGGTTACACAGGGTGGGGCAATGGGGGCATGTTCTTGCGGTGGAAACTCGGCGCTGTCACTGAACACGGTGGCACCACCTCCCCGTCCGTGAACCCGCGAACGCCCTGGTTAGTAATGCATTGCATTCCGCAAATTTCACCGAACATGGACCCCTGTGCGTGATCGATCGCTTTTATCAGAAACCAGTTACGACTCATAATGTGACCTGCTCACACTTGGTGGCTGATTGACATGACCAATGATGCCTGAGAAATTGCGATGTTGGTCGAACCATGTGCCGCCATAGACTGAGCGCTCGGTAGATCGGCGATTTGTGCGCTTCGCGGACGGTTGTTGCGCAGTATGCGTTGCTCAGAAACGTCACCAGTTCCTGATCGCCGTCCGCTTGTTTCATGAGTTGCCTACTTCGATTCCGTGAAGAACTGCGTCGGGTCCGTGTTGTGCCGCGGTCGACACGGGCTTTGGAGGACACGATCCGTTTCGTGTGCGCGAGCCGAGACACGATCTGTGCCGTGTGCACAGATATGACACGATCTGTACCGCGTGCACGGGCAGGACCCGATATGTGCCGTTTGCGCGGGCGGGACGCGATCCGTACCGTGTGCACGGGCAGGACGCGGTCTGTACCGCGTGCGTGGGCCAGTGACGTCACCAGTGCTGACCGCGGCGCCATGTCTGTCGCAGGGTCGACGTGCACAGGAAGGACAACACTGGCTCATTGGAGAAGGCCATCACCATATACGGTAACCCCGAGAACTGTGATAACGCGTGCAAGAAAATCATTGAAGTCATGATGCAGGAGGCAGCCAATACAAACAAGGGGTGAGTGGAAGCCGTGGTCGGTATCGCCCCGTGCTCCAAGGCAGGGGCTGACGGAGTGGCAGCGGGCGGGGGGGAGGGGGTGTTGAGGGCGGATGCTTGTCTGAAAGTAGATGTTGCGCAATACGGCAGATAAATCATGGGCACGGCGCACCCGTAGCCTCCCACAAGAAGAGGCACTATCGTCCTTATGGTCGTAGGCATATCGAACAGTTTATGGACCCATTAAATTGTTGACGATGCCCCGGAAATACAAGAAAAGAAAAATGAAACTTGAAAATATCGCCTTTTCAAGCTCATTGTGACCCAGTTATTGACTTGTATCCTGTGTAGAACTATTACGTGCATCAGGGCCCACCAAATGTGATGTTCTTCCATGCAGGCGGTCTTCAGATAACCTCTATAACTGTGCTAGCGTGCCTGCACCGCGTTATTGTAAGGCTTTCGGCCAAGTGCAATGCTTTGAACGAGTTGTGGGATCTATGTGAGCAGACGTTTCCGGCTAAAGGTACTACGCTCACCATATTTTTTAGTGCGACGTTGTTCCGTGCAAAACGGTCTTACACGAAGCAGATTTTTCTGACAGCGGAGGAAAGCCACTCGACCGGATTCCGCTGCGCGTTAGGGCTGCTTTGCTGCGCCGCATTCGATTGTGGCTTTACTAGGAGCAGCGCAATATTTGAACGCACCGTTGTTTTCCACTAATGAGATATTTGGAAGTGCTGCATATTGTATGTTGGTGTCGGTTGGTAACCCACAGTGCCAGGTTGTCCCGTTTGCGGTCCTTTTGAGCCGATGCCTAGAAATGCTGACTTGTGTTTGATATTATTGCCGGGGCCAGCTTGACTGTTGCGTCCAACTTTATTCGCTTTGGACACATTCTGTAGCAGATATTGGATTTATCAGCGTTTGTAGCATCGCAAGTACGCCTGAAATGTGAGGACTGCGACTGTTTCATGTTGTGAAGGAATCCTCGCCGTTGCTTATCCGTCTTGGTAGTTGTATAAGTAGCTAATGCCGTTATGTGATGAAGAAATAATTCCGTGTTCACCTTAGCTCAATTAGCCCCTTGACGTGTCGTGCAGACGTGACGTGACGTGACGTCAACAATGTGAATGCTTTATAATGTGGGTGTCCGCTTTTTCCCCTTACAGTGAGGTCCCGCTGAAAATATTGGCCCACAACAACCTGATAGGCCGGATCATCGGCAAAGGCGGCAATGTGATCAAACGTGTGATGGAGGAGACGGACACAAAGATAACGGTATCCAGGTGAGGACTCGGCACGTTACGAGAATACCTGTTTTGGCGCTCCCTTTAAAGGGTTGCCTCGCCTATCAATGGAGGCTTATGTGTGCTAATGATGTCTCGTCACCACTGTTGATGGTGGTAATGCTGATGTGACATAGGCGTCATGTTGGTGCTCTGGGGCCGTGATGCTGTCCGTTTTTAGGGATGAAGTGCTCAGTGTGCTGTGTTATCACCCCTTAAGTTTTGCAAGTCTCTAATCCAAACACGAAAAGACTGACAGGGGTTAGATTGATTTTGTACGAGTTCGGGGCGCGTGCGCCGCACGTGACGCCCTCCACGCGCGGTGCTTTGGTTTTTGAGGTGCCGCGGGCTGACCGGGGGCTTTAGGACATCTGCTTTGCAGTTAATCTCGAGCGATCGCTGGGATCACTGAAATGAAGAACTGTTTAGAGCACAGGCTTGGAGAACATCCCTCACTGCCTGTCAAGGTCTGAATGTCCTCCTCGTGCCTGTGTGCAGAAGTTTTACATGTTTGGCGCGGGAGCCCGATCGCCGCGCTGAGTCATGCCCAGAACATCGGCTTATCAGGACAATGACTCAAGAGTGGGTATGCTCCGTGTTGTATGACAAAGGCACTGCTGAGCATCGATACAACAAACATATCACTGAGGACTAGCTCTGTAATCGTATTGGCACACGTCCGTCTGCATGTAGTAGATAATGGCCGCAGTGCCTTACTGCCGCCAACACCGCGTCCATGCGCCGGCAGTGTGGCCGACATCAACAGCTTCAACCTGGAGCGGACCATCACGATCAAGGGCGGCCTGGACGGCATGTCGGAGGCCGAGCGCATGGTGGTGGCCAAGCTGCGCCAGAGCTACGAGAACGACCTGCAGGCGCTGGCGCCGCAGTCCATCATGTACCCGGGCCTGCACCCGATGGCCATGATGTCCACCATCGGGCTGGGCTTTAGCCGCGGCGGCCAGGGCCTGTACGGCGCCGGGCCGGCCAGCTACCCGCCCATCTACCCGAGCCCGACCCCCGGTCAGCCGGGCCAGCCGCTCTCCGAGACTGTCTACATGTACGTGCCGAGCGCCGCCGTCGGCGCCATCATCGGCCGCAAGGGCAACTACATCCGCAACATCATCCGCTTCTCGGGCGCCTCGGTCAAGATTGGCCAGCAGGAGGAGGAGCCGCTGGCCGGACCGGCCGGCCGCGACTCGCCCGGCGGCGAGGGGCCTGAGGGCCACAAGGTGCCGCTCATGGAGCCCATGGCTGAGCGCAAGGTCACCATCTTCGGCACGCCCGAGGCTCAGTGGAAGGTGAGGGCGGGCGGGGGGGTGGCGGCCCGGGGTACCTGCGCTGTCGGTGGCGCGCGGGGAAGAGCGGGCGGTCAGGTGCACATCTGTCCCAGCACCTGTGCGCCTGCCCCTCCAGGTGTCCGGCAGTGGCGCACTTGACGGCGGGAGCCGGTGTCCGAGCCGGCTGCGCACGTGCCGGGCCGGGGTGAGCGGATGGTACGGTCGATACCCTCGCGCCGTTGGCAGACTCTATGGCGTTCATCGCTCACCGTCTCGCGTCCATAATAGTCCAGTCGTGAAGTACGGTCCGTGAGAATACTGATCATACGTGACTGGGTCGACGGCCGTCTCTGGATTGTTCTGACGCATGTGGCTCGGGCTGAGGTCATACTATTGAGGCCGAGATGGGGTATGGAAAGGAAAGTTGACCTAGGTTGTGTGTGCTACGGCTGCAGGTAAACGCCAGCGAACACTCCACTTCCTGTTGAATAGTCGGCTGGCTTCCGATCCGTACGATGCGCGCGTCGTGCACGCGATCACACACTTTCCCTCGATATGAACAGGGTTGCATTTGTCGCCCAATAGCTGCCGTGTCTCCAGCGGACTCGACTCGCTGCATGCCGTGACACCAGTGGGAGTTTTGTGCCACGTGGACCGGTGCTTCGAACGGCCTCGAACCCGAGACTGCTGCGAAGCGACGCGGTCGCGTATACTGACACCGCGCGCCGCCCGCAGGCCCAGTTTTTGATATTCGACAAGATGCGGGAGGAAGGGTACGGCGCTGGCATCGAGGACGTCCGCCTGCCGGTGGAGATGGCCGTGCCCAGCGCCCAGGTGGGCCGCATCATCGGCAAGAAGGGCCAGAACGTGCGCGAGCTGCAGCGCTCCACCGGCACCGTGATAAAGCTGCCGCAGCCGCCTGAGGACGGCCTGGCGCCAGAGGAGACGGTCGTGCACATGGTGGGGCCGTTCTACTCGGTGCAGTCGGCGCAGCGGCGGATTCGGGCGCTCGTGTCGCAGGGCGCGCCGCCGGCCGGCCGGCCGCCGCCGCGCGCCGCCGCCGGTTCGCCCGACGCTCCGCCGCCGCCGCCGCCGCTCGTGTGAGCGGCGCCCCCGCCGCCGCCGCCGCCACCACCGCCCGCTTCTGACCAACCGCCTGGACCCAACCGCTGCCCGACCTCCTCTCAGCCATTCGTCTCCGCGCCCCGCTCTCTCTGTAGGTGACGCCGCAGGGCCGGCCGCGCCGTAACGTGGCCGGCCGAGCGGCGTCCGGCCAGCCGGGCCGCACCCCGGCCGCGGGCGCCGGCTCAGCCGCCGGCGTCCCGCTCCACGCCGTGCCGACGCCCACCTGGCGACACGGGCCGCGAGGTGTGCGGGGGAATCGATGTCTTTTATATGTCTAGTGAGTAAATTGTTTATTTTTTATATGTGTTAATGAAATTTTTGTTGAATTTTATATGCGGAGAGCGAAAACTGCTCGCGCGAGTGACGATGCTGTCGCTTTGTGGTCCGGCGGGGTCGCGGGGTGTGAGCGCGGCCCCGCCGGACGGAGGCCTAGGAGAGAGTGAGGACAGAAGAAGTGAGAGGAAGAGAGAGAAAGCAAGAAGGACGTCCTACTGGGGAGCGCCAACCGGGCTCCCGCCCCCGACTCTGCGCCCCCTCCCCCATAGCCGGCCGCACACTCCACCGGCGCCCGCCGCCGCCGCCCGGACAGGACAGATTGACCCGGACTGACCCCTACCTCGCGCGCCGCGACCGCCGGGCCTCGCTCAGGAGGAGAGACGCCGTCGGAGCCGGCCGGACCGGACCGGACGGCACCGGACCGGCGCCGGCCCGAGGCGCAGGACTGCCCGCTACCTCGCCCGGCGGTCGGGCACGCCGCCTGGAGGAGGCGCGCGGCCGCGCCGCCGCCCGGCCCGGCCCGGCGCCCCTCACTCAGGTCCTGTTCGTTGCCGGGCGGGCGCCGCGGCGGTGGCCGCCGCGCGCCGCCGCTGTATCATAGCATATTCAGTACACCGTTTTCCGTTACTCTTTGCTTACGTGGTGTGTTGGGGCGCCGGGGTTCGGAAGGGCGTTAGCGCTCCCCGCACCCTGCGCGCCCCTCTGGTAACCGTTGGTGTGCGGGAGGGGTGCGGGCGGCCTCGCCGCCCCGCCCCGCCCATCCATATACACAACTGCTGTGCATGTGCCTATGTTTATGGTATTTGAGTTGTTAGACTATCCGTAAGTCGCTATCCAATGGTTGCCACTAGCTCCCCTGATGGTTAGCCCCAAGTCCAGTGTGTACCAGTACAAACGCGCCTGGCCGGCGTCGGCACCGCCTGACGCCGGTCGGACCGGCGGCCGCCCCGCCCCACGCGCCCTCTGGCGTTCCTTCCCCTCACTGCGGACCGTACAGCCAGCCAGACCTCAGCGCTGCTACCTCAATAGGCGAGCCGAGCGCGCCGACCGCGCGGAGCACGCCTGCGCACTGTCAATTGCCGGTACCATGGCATGACGCTCGCAGAGGCGTCACGATCCTCCATGGCTCGAGTCGTGCATCTAATTCAAGAGGCCCAAAAGCAGGGGTGGTGGCGACCGCCGTCAATACGATTCGTGTGCGTACACCCTAGAAGTTGTGTAACCGTCTGTGTTTCTCTGTGGCGCTCTGGTTTCTGCCTGGACAAATAAATTATTACGGTTGATGTGGTCTTGGGACGTTGAACCAAGCATCGGGTTTGAAACCACGCATTTTGCGCATTTAACGTAATCGCTAAAGCGGCATTGTTGCAGGGAATGGGCGTGGGCGGGCATCGACTGGGCTTCTTTAGCATCGCACGGAGAGGGGGCATCATGTGGATGGCGCAACGATTCAAGTGCTGCATTCACGTGCTAGCCAGTGTGGGCCGCAATGACAGGTGCTACTGAACCATTCGAACACTCCATTAGGGACACGTTCTGAGGGGGGGGGGGGGGGGTACCGATACAATAGCACAACGCTCGCGGAGACGTCATGATCCTCCGTGGCCCATGGCGCATTCAGGAAGTGGAGGAGTCCACGGATTAATCTCAAGAAGTGGAGGAAAACGCAAGGGCTGGAGAAAAAAGACTTGCTTCATTGCCTACTCTCCGTGCGTCATACAGGTTCTCTGATAGCTTTCAAGGGAGTGTGTATGGGGGGGAGGGGATGAATGGGCACGGTCCACTGTTAGTACACCGTCCAGGCTCCCGCCTCTGACTCTGCGCCGGCACTAGTAATAGGAAGCGGTGCCGGCGTCGGCACCGCCTCCCAATAGCACGCTCCATCGGCGCCCGACGTCCGAACGGTACAGGTGAGCCTGGACTGACCCCTGCCTCGCGCGCCGGGGCCCCGCTCAGGAGACGAGGACAGCCGCCAGCCGGGCGCCTTCCAAATTGGAGGAGCGTTGAGCACAAGGTGTTCAGACATTAGCTGACCTCACGTAGTTACATGCGTTGCAAATGTTGGTCACGTGCCGGGACAGTGAGGCCGTTTGCATTCCGTGGTACAGGAGCACCCGGCCTGGGCGTCGAAACCTCTTCTCGTCGATCTCTTATTCACCGTCATAAGCTGAGTGGCATTTTCACAAAAGTGGAGAAACAAAACTTGCGGAGTGAAGTGGGTGGTGAGCACGCCTCATGCCGTTCGCTCCGCTCGTACGTTTGCCTGACACCAAACTGGGCGGATCGTTACCGTGTTATCCGCGTGCCGGCCCGCGCCTGGGCCCACCTAATCACTCTCCCGGCTAACGATGCCAGTTATCGTTCCTCACACCCGAGGTCGCTGCGTCACATCCCCGCCCAGGTGCTGGAGGCGGGTTGTCACGGCCCCGGCCGGAGTACGAAACGGACACATTCTGTTCGATCCGAGTGAGACAGTATCCCGCAGGAAAGTGCCCAGATTAAATACAGGTTCATGAATTTCCTCCATTGCTGATCCAATCCGTATTCACCTGGCACAGTAGGCCAAACCTTAGTGAACTATTGATAGGAAAACCTCCATGCTTAATGTAGTGTTAATTGACATATTAAAAATTTCACCGAATCAGGAGAAAGGTAAAAAAGTGGAAATTTGATTCATGCAAACAACGAAAATTAGTTCCAACAGCTGAATTGTTTTGCATATGATTATTATGACCACAGCTAAAAACTGGCTTATTAAAGGTTGAACTTCACACAAATGTCCAAATGATTTGAAAAATCTGAACCTATATCCAGGGGCATAGCTTCGAGCCCAATGATCAATGAGAGATGAACCGTTCAAATTTGACACCCCAAATTCGCCAACAAATGGGTCTCCGAATTTGATCCACTTTCCTTTCAAAGTTGGGGTGAGGTGGGGTGGGGATGGGGGTCTGTATCCAGGCAGGAGTGTAGTTTCCTATTTGGCCGGCATGTGACCGATCGATGGCCCAGGTAGGCCGCGGCCGGAGCATGGTGTCCTCCCGCTGGGGCATGACGGGACGTGACCGGTCGATGGCGCAGGTAGGTCACGGCCGGAGCGTGGTGTCCTCCCGCTGGAGCATGACGGGACGTGACCGGTCGATGGCCCAGGTAGGTCACGGCCGGAGCGTGGTGTCCTCCCGCTGGGGCATGACGGGACGTGACCGGCCGATGGCCCAAGAAGGTCGCGGCCGGAGCATGGTGTCCTCCGGCTACAGCCTTCAGCCTGCCACGGGGGCGACATCTCACACACGGGAGACGGCGCGGGGAAGCCATTTGGCCCTCACCTTCAGACGGGCTTCCTAAAGACAACAGCAATGCACGAAGCCAAGATCCTTTAGGCTATGTGCAACAGGTCCTTCGTTTCGGTGTATGCAACATTTGGATGGGGCTCCGTCATCAGCGCCCCTGCTTCCAATGTTCCGGCTGCCGCTGGACACTCTGGGACGTCACGTGACCATAGCGTCAGCACTGCAGACCCAGCCTACCGCGCTTGGCGTCCCTCCGCCCGTCTGTCAAACTCGGCAAAAACGCGTCCGGATGATCAGTACTGCTTTATTCTGGTTGTCCATCTGGGTCGACCTCGGTAGTCAGCCGGCAGCGACAGGCCACAGCGAGCGTTCATTGGAATGTACAGCTGAGAGGGCCACCAGGCCCACACAATACGTCATCAGACGGTGCCGAAATTATAAGGCTCGATAAATGTCGCCCAGAATGCTGCTGACAAATAAACAGGCGAAGACGCCTCAATATATGCATGCAAATATTCGTCACAGACATGTATATAAATCAATAGCTACACGCACACACGGATTTACACATTCATTTACATATATTCATATATCTATAGACGCCAGATCCGATGGATGGCCAGCAGGAGCAGGACCCTGTGCGACACGCGTCGATGGACGATACTAGCCTGCGGCCAAACGCTCTCTCTCTCTCTCTGAACGGGGATTGCTCTTCGCTGGTCAGAGATCAGGTGAGCGCAACTGTACAAGTTGTTGCCAATGTCCAAAGTCAGATGTGCGGTCCGGAACGAGACTTCCAACTCGGGACTGTGCCCCTAGGATGGGGTAAGGGGGAGGGGAGGAGGGAGGGATAAGGGGAGGGGAGTTTCAGCCAGCCAGTGCCGCGTTTGCAAGCTTCGCCGGTTGGCGTCAACCGCAAGGGCCACTCCGCCAATCAGCGCCGCCTGCTCTGCCGTCTCCGCCAATCAACGTCACCTGCTCTGCTGCCTCCATCAATCATCACCATTACCCGAGTCGCCTCCGTCAATCAGCGCGGTCAGACAGCGTCCTTGTCATGCTAGTCTACCAAATGGGGATGTAGTTGTCGATCTTAGCCTTGTGCTTCTGCGATACACACTCGGCGATCCAGACGATGTTCCGGCACTCCTGTTCCTTCAGCTTCAGGTACGAGTAGAAGGTGCCGTAGTGGAACTGCTGCAGGAACGCGTTGATGTTGAGGCGAACCTGCAAAACAGCGTTACGCACGCTCAGTGACTGGCAGCTGACACCGCGCCCGTACACCTGGCTAGAACGCCGCCTTTGTTCTCAATTCGTCAACCGCACTCACCCACCGCGCTTTCGCGGCAGGCGTCCGGGAGCTGGACTGGTGCGGCCCAGCCCACTGGCCGGTAGGTGTGGTGTGGCCAGCCGTCGGTCGGCCGGTGTGGCGGCGAGGGGCACAACTGTCCGTCATCGGGGTCTTTGAGGTGCAGCATGGCGAATTTTCGGTGGAATTCTACTCGGGGATCGAATTCGAATTCACGGATCAACGAGCGAGAGAACGCCTGGGTGCCTACGACTGGTCTTGCAACACAAGCAAATCATATAACAATGCCTTCTTTTGCCTTCCGTAGGAATCAGATAAGCCAGTGCTGACAGGATCGCAACATGTCAGTAGTGAACGGCGAGTGCACGATGGGACATTTCCTCCTCTCTCGAAAGTGTATCACGGCATTGAAGGTGGGGTGGACAGAGCTAGGGCCGTGCCCACCTCACGCTCGAAGAACTTGTCCTCCAGGGTCTTGTCGCCGGGGTTGTTGCCGGCCTCGTCGAACAGGGCTCGGTACTCCTGGAAGCAGTCGCAGGTAGAGGTAGTAAGGGGAAACCAAATCAGCGACCCCCGCTCCGCTGGCTGGTGCAGCAACGCTGGTGCAATTCTCCTGACACACCTCCGACAGCGTTGAAAACAGCGCTCGCAAAGGCCCAAAATCGACTGGACAAAAACCGCGCCGTCCCGATGGCTTTCACAGGCCGCTACCAGAGTACGTATTCACACACACAACTTCCTTAGTTCAGGTTATCCAATGGCTGCTGAGACCGACATCTAAGAAGCAAAACACCAACAGGCCGGCAGCTTTGCCGCCCCTGCACTGCACCGGCCGCCACGGCGGCAGGGCGGGGCCGCGCCGCGCCTCTCACGTACCCCGTAGTACTCGGCGACGGCCTTGACCTGCTCGTAGTCGTCGGCGCGGGCCAGGGCGGCGATGCCGTCCGGGTTGAGCTTGCCGCAGCGCGGGTACAGCTTGCTGCGGTCGTCCTTGCTCAGCTCGGTGCCGAACGAGTTGATGGTGATGATGATGGCGCGCCGGTCGGCCTCAAACTGCGACAGGAGGCGTGGCTCAGTGGGGGAGACATCTGGCGGCGACCAAGTGGCACAGAGGGCAGCACCGTGCGCGCGGGCCCGAAGCAGAGGGGCGGACCGGCCGCCGAGAGGTCAAGGTCAAGCAGAGCCCGTTCGCAGGGCTGGGTCTGCCATCACACCGTCAGAGAACCAGAGGGAGACAGACCCTGCGGTCTGTCACAAGAACTAAGTGCTGGGGCGGACCACAACGGCCGTGAAGGCTGTAGCACGCCCATTTTGGGAGCTGTCCTAAGCGACTGTGTAATGCACATCCAAATTCAAAACTATATTTTCTGTACACGTGACTAATTCGTCCGCAATGTGAACACATCCTGAAGCAATGTCAACCGCGTGAAAAATCGACAGCCAAATGTCACGAAAGACGTCGGACGAGGCTAACAAGCCGCACGTTTCGCCTCTGTCGTCACTCACGGCCAGGATCTCGCACATGACGTCGGCCGTCGTGCCACCGATGCCCTCGCAGAACTCGTAGAACGACTCCAGGTACGCCTTGTACAGCGTGTTACGGATGATCTCGATGTTCATCTCGTCCAGGTCCTGCTCAGAGATGCAGTCCACGAAAAAGGGCGCTGCCGGGGCGGCACGGCGTCAGGCAGTGGTGGTCGTGGCACAAGAACAAAGCTACGGAGGTGTGGGGCCATATGTCAATGATAATATGACAATGCAACTTGCCTCTATGAAAAGCGAGTGGTTTTCCTGTCGGTGTACGTACTACAAACCGTAAGCAGGTCAAGTCCGAGCGAATCGGCAGGTAAGTAAAGAAAGAAGAGAACTATATTAAGTGGTTAGAGCCATCAAGGCAAATCCAGACAGTCGGCTCCCCTCAACATCACATGGTGGACATCTGACCTTCACGCTCTGGCAAGGTTAAAATGCAACGATCATGAGTTATGCAGTATTCCCAAGCGCTCTCGCATCGTCACTTTTCGGACGCATGTAAGCACCGAAATGTGCACACAAAACGGTTCATGAAAAGGTATCCCTTTTGTCCCGCTACTGAGCACAATATTAAGCCACATTAAGCAGCCTGTGTACGTCATACTGCACGAAACATATCATACACCATGAAACCCACTCGGAGCGTTTTTCTTGACCCATGTCAACATTGATGCCCAGCGAGGCGCCTCCTGCCACTGCGTCCCAAGCACCGAGCATCTCGGCGCGTCTACCAGCCAGGAGTACCAGGTACGTGCCGAGGGGGGTGTCCATCAGTCAGGTGTACCTAGCACGCACTGAGCGGGGCGTCCACCAGTCAGGTGTACCTAGCACGTACCGAGCGGGGTGTCCACCAGCACGGCACTGTAAAGCTCCGCCGGCGTCGACGCCACGTGGATGGCCTCCATCTGCTCGAAGCTGCCCAGCGGGTGGCACTTGGGCAGCAGCTCGGACAGCGGCCGCTGGTGCAGCGTGCCCGTGATCAGCAGGATGATGTTGTCGATCATGTAGCCATATCTGCCGCACGCATTACGTGGCGTCATGAACGCCACCCAACTCTGTCCACACCAGCATACGTAACGGTGTTTTCTCCTGGACGCTAGATGTGAGGATATGAAAAGTCGCTTATTTTTAGACTGAACTCAACATAATTGTGTTTTTGCGCAATGAAAGCCTTGGCGCAAGGTGTAAAACACTAGCTTAACCATCACACGACCAAGGCTACACGGCTTTTAATCCACCAGCAGGCGGTGCAGCAGAGGGATTTTTGATCCCATCTCCCATCAGTCATCATCATTATCTCCCATCTTTGAATATGACACCAAAAAAGTGGCAAATATGTTGGATATGACACACCAGGCTATATATACCTCAACTGAGGAGACATCGCTTGAGGATGTTCAGTTGATTCTATTTTGATTGTTTGAGGGTGTTTAGTTGATTCTATTCTAGATTGACATTAACGAAATTAACACATGACATGCAAAAGTCAACTCTCTACTACTCCATGGCAATCCTGCCCTTTTCCACACCCGCTTAGCAGAGCACGATCAGGATCGATGTCTGCAAAAAGGAAACGCGGAGAACCAGAGCCTGAACCACTGGTAGCAAGATGAACGCTGAGCCCAGGAGGCTATGCGCCCTAATCCACAACAGTGACACGCAACTCACGTGATGTAATCGATAAAAGTCGACAGCGGCTCGACAGAGTGGTTGCGGATGTGTTCGATCTCCACCACCAGCTTGTCTCTCAGCCGGTCGTCGATGGTGGCCACAGACAGCGGGCCTGGCTCGTTGGCCAGGAAGTGGCCATAGTCTGTGCTTTGCAGGTGCAGCTTCAGGTCTGGCAACAAGAGTGTAAGCTGATGTTCCATGAAACTGTTGCATGGAATGAGCAGGAACTCTCCAGATCAAATATCATAGGAGTGGAAAGCTGAAAAGAATGGGGTTACAGGCAGGTGTGACTCTTGAGATCTGTGGTTTGCTGTGTGACATTACACCAGGCCTAACTCTCAAAGTTTTCTAATATGGGCATGTCATCCACCATCACCTTACCACCACTGTGCCCTGAGCATGGCTTGGCAATAGGAAGAATTGCTACTGATGATGATGCTTTAGCTTTGGGTGCACCAACTATGTTGGTCATATAACAGCCAAAAGAATGACTGCTACTGATATAACTACAGCCCTACCAAATCCTTCAAATTATTCATTTGGTATAAGACTAATGATGACTAACCTGACAATAAATCTAACTCTCAAAGTTTGTATACACTTCCCAAGCATTAACAGACCTTACAAGTAAGTCCCCTTACTTATTACACCTTTGCCAGCAGCCACAAGGACACACATCCCTACCTCCTCCAGCCTCAACAAGCTCACGTTACCAAGCATAACATGACAACTTACATGAAGATGTATCACAAGCATACCTACCATGTAAAGAACAAAATATGTAACATTGGATCAATTACAATGGGTTAGATATTTACTCTTTCATGACAACTGAAATCACCATGTCAGCAGCCACTCAGAACCCCTCAGTAAGCAACACATTTTTTATCACAGGGTATGCCTACATGTAGCTGCTAATATCTCCCCTATCTATCAACACACCTATCTGAAAGCACCATAATATCTATTGTTAAAGTGAAAGCTGTTTAAGAGGCAGCATGTAGTGTTGGCCCAGTGCAGGTTATACATATTTTTCCCTTATAAATGACATGACAAAGCTTGATGCTACAGCTGGTAAGACAGGATACAGACAAGGTCACATATATGACACATGACAAGACATGAGACAGACATGGTGACACCACCAGTCACTGCTTTTTCTAATGAGATGGTGCACTAAAGGCTTGATCATATCCTGTGCTTGCAGTGACAGCCTCTGCTTTTAGTGATCAGTCAATAGCTGCAATTACATATTCTGGCCATTTTGCAGCAATTGATATCCTAACAAGTACCAATTATACTGGATTAAGATCACTCTGCCTAAGTAACACTGAGCTAAGCACATTCCAAAACATATAGACCAGTTAGCTCCCAGCCATGCTGCATGCATAAAACAAATATGAACATATGTCTTGCCATGTGAAGAAAGCAAAAATATCTGGCAAAAGGGTTTCAAAACATCTGAAGCATATTTTAGCATGATTTACACCCTCAAAAATTGTACATGAACTTCTCACCCTGGCAACAATGTGTTAACACATTCTAAAGCATAATGCCCATCTAGCCCCCACCCAAGCTACATGTGTGAAACAAAAATGCACATGTTTCTTACCATGGGAGGAAGGCAAACATGTAGCATAAAGGTTTCACAACATTTAAAAGCATATTTTAGCATCATTTACACCTATGCCTGCATGCCACATTCCATGGCCTAGCCCTTCTCTCCTCCTGAGGCTTTGGATAGACTTCATCAAAAATCCCATTCTCCACCCATGAATAACATATCACTGGCCTCACAACAATACCACAGCCACGCTTGACAGTTACCACAGGGTTCACGTCTGTTTACAAATGCAGAAACCAATTGGCACACCATATAACACCACTGGGTACTTACATGGCACCCAATAAAAAGACAGAACATCATGCCACATAAGGATTGATTACTTATGTGCAAATCATCCACTCACCTTCTAAAGTTTCACACTGAACCAAATTTAGATAGTCATTGTTCTTTAGAATTCCATTCTTAAATCCACGGCACAGGCTTTCAAGGTAGCCATCATGAATGTTGAACATCCAGTCCTTCATCGTTCCGTTGTTTTTGTTAGGTCCAGGAACAGCTACTGAAACAAGGATGCTATTACGATCTGCAACAGCTTACACTTCGCATCTATAAACATATGTTCGGTTTTAACTCCAGTAACCGCACTGGCGAGCGACCACCTTCCATGACTACTAATGGCTGCAAAGATTACACCGAGCAGTGAAATACAACAGAGATAATATGTTTCCGCGCAGTACCTGCACGATCCCAATCGACCACAGCCACCTACAATCGCACACAGCCTAGTCCCGTGACCAAACTGTGACTCTGTAATGAAGTGAGGCAAAAGTGCCGCTGCTACTGAGTGTGGCGCAGAAAGGATCAATATTTCGCCTAGCTTTGACTACCCCATCAATCCATATTCGAGAATGGACCAGAGACTATTCCTATCTACAAGTTTTAATGAAAGTTTAAAAAAATAACGTTGTTTCTCTATCTTAAAAAGCCAATACACCTATTACACATTTAAAATGTGTATGATGAGCATGACAGAACCCAAGCTGTCGACAACACTGAGCCCAGATCTACGCCAATGGGATATATAAATTGGCGGAATATTCTATCAGCTGTTTGCATTCGCGTGACAGACGGACTAGTCACGTCTTTTCTGATTGGTCTCTAGAATGTCAAGTGCACCAATAGAAATATGTGTAACAGAAGGTATGTAACGTTATATATACGGCAAGCGCGCAACACCCATCCCCTTTCTTGAGCAGCAGCGGAGGTTGGCTCGCGTCGCATCCGGTGCTCGGTGGTGTTTTCACGTGGTCGCTGACTGCACGCAGTTTTTGAAGATGGCTGGTGACAAGCCCAACTACAAAGTCGGTAAGTCGTCGATTTGTGTTGCAATCTTAAGGTGCTCCTTAAGAAAATGTGATAATTCTGCCGGTAATCTGGAATTACTCGCTGCTGCTACGGATATAACAATGTATCACGACATGCCAATTTTTCGACCGACAACAGGCATACGAACCGATGGAGCCCGGCAACAGGAACACAACTACGACAACGCGAGAAACGCTTTGTAAGTGGTTAGCATTGGCTCTAGAAGGGTGCGGCAAGAAAAGTCGTCTCTCAAAGAACGTTTGGCCCTCCCTTTTTGAAGACCAGCTTACGCTTCCGCTATGTTGATACTACTGTGCAGCGCATTCTCCTGCAGCTTGTCCTGCGAATACGCTCGGTGGAATGCGAAAGGTGCTCTTAAATGCATTTATATATACATCACCAGCATGAAACGTAAGTGTTCCGCGATAAGATTACTGACATCGACTACTCTGCTTCCCTACGCCTGCGTCAGGATGTATTTGCAGAGCACGAAATTCGAAGGCATGGTCCATTTGAAAATGCATGGCATGGGATCGGTAAATCGACCGTCGGTGCGTCATTTCAACAAGCTTGAAATTAATCAAGATCCGACAGTAATACAAGGTTCCTCGGAGAAAACTCAGGAGAATGGAGGTATAGATGCGTTGATATTGGCAACTGCCTTTATCGAATCGAATTGTAGAAGTGATTTACTTCTGCTATTGAATTGGTTCACGTCTGCTATTCGTTTCGCGAAAGGCAGGTTGCCGAAATATCAACGCACCTATATCTCCATTCTCCAGGTTTTTCTCCAAGGAATAGGGATATTACTACTGTCTTGTCTATGTGAATAATGTTCCTCCCAAATGCACTTGATACTTACGGAATCCAGGTCTTTTGTCATTGTATAGATAGAACATAGTATTGAAAAATTGACGTCGTGACAACCGAACGGGCGTGGTGCTTATCATGGAAGGAACTTGACGGCATCCGTCAAAACTGGAAATATTATAGAAAGATGTCGGCATGATTTATAACCACAACTGAGCCAGAGATATGCCATAGATGAGGGGGGGGGGGGCTGGGATATCGGGCTGCGGCCCCTTGGCCAAAAGTCGTATGCCAGGTAAGAACTAAATGATTTTGCAGGACTTGAGTCCAATTCGCAGGAGCTAGGAGAAAATTTGACATTTTCCCCCTCCCCTTCCCCGCTCTTCCGAGGAAACTTGTGGTTACGTTCCTAATATTAAATGCCTTACGGTGTCCAGCACCTTCCCCCTTGCTACTCTTCAATTACGCTCGACAAATCAGGCCCCCATCCATGTGTGACGTAATTTGTGGGACGACCCATGATGCAATCTTCCCCTCAACCCCAAGCAGCGGGTGGTGACATCCCCATATGTCGTCTGTGACCCTTGGTTGTAGTTCCTCCAAAGCACAGTCTCGGAGGTCACTGCGAATTCGGGAATGTTTGTCTTCATCATTGTGCATTAGCGGTTTGGGGAGTGGCAGGGGGACCTGAGCCACGTGCAGCCTTATCAAGTTATACATGCTTTAATATGCACGCAAATAATTGTCGAAAAAAGGGTTCCCCACATAAGCACAGAGTGAATACACGCCCACGTAAAATGTTTGTTTTCGAGAAGCAGTTTTGTGGAAATTCCTTTTCTCAATGCGAAATCCCTCGTCTGCCCGTGGTCTGTGTATCAAGGGTATTGGTATAGGTAACTCGGAGATGATTCAGAGATTGGATTGCCCTTTTTACCCACGTCTCCAAAATGAGCGATCTTAGGATGGAACTAGGGAAAAGCTAACCATCCGTACCAGCCCGTAGCCAAAACTCACAACCAAGGGACAAGATGGTGTGTTGGAAGAATCAACATTGGGAAAATGAGGCGACCGAAAAGTTGCCCTCTATTGGATGGGTAGAACACTGGTATACGCTCCCGATGAGTTTGGTTATCAAAATTTGTTGAAAGAAGCTGTTAATGTAGTTATTCCGCAGTTTGTCCTCAATGAAGGCAAGTAATCAGCGGTGGTGCATTCATTTTTGCACTGTTTCAATCTTTATTTCTTGAAGTGATGACGCGACAGCCGCACGGCCCACGGTAAAATCGAAGTTTTCCAGTGCGGGCGTCCAAATTACTGCCTCCTGGCAAAAGACCGCGGACAGTGCTGCTCGGGACCACCATAGGAGGTGATTTGCGTGCATTTTGCATTATGTTCAGTCGATGCGCCTCAATCTGCCACCGAGCTGCTGGCACAAGCGTCTCCCGGACGCCAACAGTGTCTGCCGACAGTGGCTCCTTCCATCCAGGCGCCGGGACTGTCCGCCGGGTCAGTGACCTTGGCGTCGCCCCTGCGGCGGGGACTGCGCGGGCCGCGCGCCACGTGGACCCGGAGGTGGATGTGGAGTCCGGAGATGATACTGGCGATGACGGTGGCGGTGACGCTATAGGGGCGGGCGTTGTGTTCGATTGCAATGGAGTTGCTGTCTGTGCTGTGTATCAGCGCGTGGCGAACAATGCCATGTTTTCGTAAGGGCGTGTGTGGCCGCCTTGCCGCGCCGCTCGTTCGCATCGGTGACGGGCGTGCGCGGCACTGTTCCACGTGCGCCAGACCGGACTGCCTTTGTTGAGATATCGAAATATGATGACTCGTCGGCTCTAAACTTGGCTGTGGCGTGATCAGCTGCCTCAGGTGCGTCAGGGATGGATGAGATAAGCTGATATGAATATACTTCCAAGTAGTAGGATGCGAAAAGCACATCTTGCGACCAGTACTGGAACAAAAGCCAATCGTGACAAATTTGGAAGATATCCTCTTTGGCCCCTCCCCCAGGCCCTTGATTTGAAGTAAGAACTCGTGCTGTGATACGTTCCAGACTCCCTGGCGTGGCGTTTTCTGGCCAACATGAATGGTGGAGTGTATGTGAAGTGTTGAGTGTTGAGTGATTGTCACGGATCGAGTGTTACACTATATACACATTGGATAAATATCCGTATCCAGTGACGGCATTGTACACCAGCGGGGTGTTTGACACACGTGCCGGTGCCGAGGCGGCAAGAATTGCTTGGCGCCGTTGCGCAAGTCCAGTCAACTTTGTAACCATTGTCGGGGGAGGGTCTTGTCTGTCAACGCAACACCGCCTCAGGGCGTACCAGGTTCGCGTCCGGCGATCGAGTGCCAGGCTTTGCTTATGCTTGAGAATCGGTGAGCTCATGCGTGCGTCCTGTCACCGCCCCTCCCCTCCCCTCCCTCATTCAGGCGTTGACGTCCGCAGGGGCGTCGTCAGACTTTGACGCGGGGGAGAGTATGGAGAGGTGCTCAGTGGGAGGGGTGGGGGGCAAGATCGTTGTTTTTGGAGACCTATCCATAACCAAAATAGGGCGATCACTGCATCCTGGGGAAATATACCCTCCCTGCCCTATTCCCCGCCCTGGTTACCCGTTGCCGACGACCTTGAACGTCCGACTGCCCATGAAAAAACTCCCGTCTAGGTAATTATTTATGCTGCCCGTCTTCATCGCGACATGGCAAATGTCATGACCATCCAGACTCGCTGAGCTATCCGGTTTATTCTGGACTGCTCCGGACACCAGCAGCCTTGTTATTAAACACGGCTCTTGGATTGTTTACTTGACACTGGCTGGCACCGCCTCCATAAGCCTGCAAGAACTGACTGTGGTTCCAGATGGACATGCTGCGCTGGTAGTTCTCTAGTTGGGGCCGTCGATTAGTTGGAGCTTGAATCTTGATTGTAATGCTAAGACCAGGTTAAAACACATGACATACGCCCGCTGACTTAACCCCAACACGCAACACGTTGTAACGCTTCACGTGCTACATTGTATCCAAACGCCCAACATGTCTTTTTGCTAAGCAGTGCTGCCTCAATGACATTCGTGCGCTGACAACTGTTTACGAATGAGGCTGATCTTCTGATGCACGACGCCGTCGCCCTGATGCTCTTCCCTGACGGCGTCTCGAACTCCCCCGCAGCGGACATCAAGCTGGCCGAATGGGGCCGCAAGGAGATGATCATGGCCGAGAATGAGATGCCGGGGCTGATGGCGCTGCGCAAGAAGTACGGCCCGCTGAAGCCGCTGAAGGGCGCGCGCATCGCCGGCTGCCTGCACATGACCATCCAGACGGCCGTGCTGATCGAGACGCTTACCGAGCTCGGCGCCGAGGTGGGTGTGGTTTAGCTCGCCGCCGCCGCGCGGCGCCACCGGCGACTGACGCGCGCTGTAGACGACGCTGCGGGCATGGCCTCAACGCGGGCCCGGGTAACATTGTGCATTGGGGGATTGCAGGTCGAGGGCCTTTTCGAACTATTCGGGTAGAGTATTAACCTCATCTTCTCAAGCCTACATTCTTGGTGGAGTCAGTTGCTGTATCAGATAACATCACACCTCTTCACTGCTCACCGTTCAGCCGCACCCGTACGCCACCGCCCCATGTTTTCCGGTGCCGCCGTGCCGTTCCGACCACCTCGCTCCTGTGGATGTGACGTGCTGCTGGAACCGCTGACGCCACCGACCACCCTACAGGTCCAGTGGTCCAGCTGCAACATCTTCAGCACGCAGGACCACGCGGCCGCCGCCATTGCCGTCACCGGCGTGCCGGTGTACGCCTGGAAGGGCGAGACGGACGAGGAGTACGAGTGGTGTATCGTGCAGACGCTCGTCTTCAGGAACGGCCAGGTGGGCGGTGCGGCCGAGCCACGGGCGGACCCTGAGGGCTCGCCCTGCCCTCTGTCAGGGCGCTGGCGGGCGCCCTGATCTCTGTCCGGGAGCTGTCGGGCGCCCTGTGCTTTGTCCGGGCGCTGCTAGGCGCCCTGCCTTCTGTCCGGGCGCCGACGGTTTGTCTGGCGCTGTGTTAAAGCCGTGAATGTAGTCAGCTCTCGAATGCGTTTTGTAACAGCTTCATTTTTGGCTGTTATATCAGATGAAAATCGAGCTTTGTTTATGGTTCATGTCAGTCACCGTTGTGCTGTGCACGGCTGACCCTCATCAGCTGTATCTTGGCCAGGTTTGCTTTAGCCTTCCCAGTCACTTTCACGTGAGCGGCGCTCCCCGTCGGAGACGCGGCCGACTTAAACAACGCCACCGTTCTTGTATCTGCAGCCGCTGAACATGATCCTGGACGACGGCGGCGACCTGACCAACCTGGTGCACGAGAAGTACCCGGAGCTGCTGAAGGACATCAAGGGCGTCTCCGAGGAGACCACCACCGGCGTGCACAACCTCGTCAAGATGATGAAGGCCGGCAAGCTGAAGGTGCCGGCCATTAACGTCAACGACTCTGTCACCAAGGTGCGTCCGTTTCCCCGCCGGTGTCGCGGGCGGGGACGGGGGGCAGTGGGCGATGTATGGGGACCAAGTCCTCGTCTTTGGTGAGTGGGTGGGGTGGCGGGAGGGGGACTGGCCATTGCAGTAGAGCCTGAATTGTACTGTGCCCAGGTGGCGGATATACACGAGGCGCTGCTTACATTCTCCATGATTTTGGCTCTGTTACCTGGAGTCATATCAGGCGCCCGAAATTCCGGACGCCCGTTTTACATTTTGCCGACACTGACCGCTGATACAACACCCCTCTGACGCCCATGCTGAAGCCGTCTGACACCCGTGCTACACCCGCTTAACTCCGTGCTACACGCGTCTGACGCCTGTGCTTCACCCGTCTAACATCAGTGCCACACCCGTCTGAGGCACATACCACACCCGTCTGACGCCCGTCTGACGTCCGCCTGACCCCGTGCTACACTCGTCTGATCCCGGTGCCACACCCGTCTGACGCCCGTCTGACGCCCGCCTGACGCCCGCCTGACCCCGTGCAGTCCAAGTTCGACAACCTGTACGGCTGTCGCGAGTCGCTGACGGACGGCATCAAGCGTGCCACCGACGTCATGCTGGCGGGCAAGACGTGCGTCGTGGCCGGCTACGGCGACGTCGGCAAGGGCTCGGCCGGCTCGCTCAAGGCGTTCGGCTCGCGCGTCATCATCACCGAGGTGGACCCCATCAACGCCCTGCAGGCTGCCATGGAGGGCTACCAGGTGAGTGCCGGCAGTTGGAGCGGTGGGCGGTGGGGAAGGCGGGACTGGCACTGGTGGCGGTCACCAGTGGATGTGGGTGAGGGAAAGGGGAGTCGGTGGCCCGAGGGGAGGGGGCGGAAGTGGGGTGGATGGTGGGGAAGGTTACCGGACTGGGAAGGACGTGGCGTAGAGGGTGGAGTGCAACTCTGTCATGCCTGGTGATAAATACATGAGACATCGGGCCAACAAAGGGCCACAAGGCTCCATCGAGGCTGGCCTACCTCAGGTTCCGCACGCAGCCTCGAAACTAATCTTACCACCTGACCTGCCTGAACTTAGCTTAAATGAGATCTTCAGATGGATACAACTGGTTCAAACGATTTTTATAAATGTTACCTTGAGAGTGACTTCCTACGTCATTTGACAGTCCGTTCCAATGATTCACCACTCTTTGACGAAATTGCACATGCCTCTTTCATAGTTCTACTCATACCCTTTGCTTCATGTAGATCTATCTTGTCTAGCCCTTTCATAATCTTGAATACCTTTAACAGATCTTCCCTAAGTCTTCGATATTTCAGTGAATACAAGCCCAATACGCTAAGTCGTCAATCTCATGTATCATCCTAGTTGCCTTTCGCTGTACTCTTTCCAGCCTATCTCGATCTTTTTGGAAGCATGGGGACCAAGCTTGTACGCAATACTCTGGGCGTGGTCTGACATAATCTAAGTTCAACTTTTTGACAATATTCGTACTATTGTAATGGGAATTCCTGTTAAGAAGTCCAAGCATCCGAAGTGTTTTGCTCCTAGCAGCCCCACATTGGTTTTCAGCCTTGAATTACTGGAAATGATAACCTAAGTACTTTTCTTCCCAGCTCGGCTCTTACTCCTGGCCTCCTATTTTATAGTTACTGCCCTCACTACTATAACTACGTAAATACATCATTTGCCGTAATGAAATGGCACCTGCTGTAGAAAAGCCCAGTGCACTGGTTTCTCCAAGTCAAGTTGAATCAGGCCCTCTTGGTCCGTATTTTTGGACACCCCTACCAATTTCATATCATGGGCAGATTTAAGCACCTTGGTCTCTTATCCTATCCCCATAACATTCACCAAAATAATAAAAAGCAAAGAGTCCAACACCGACAGCTGTGGAACGCTACTCTCTACTAGCTCCCACTGAGATTTTGCACCATCGAGCATTAATCTTTAATCCATGAACTCCAGGTTTGTTAAACAGCACTTACCTGAAAGAAAACCATGCTGGCTGCTGTTAATGAGCCAGTGCGCATCAGAGCGTGACTGAGTGCGAGCGTGAATGAATTCCCCTAAGACCGTGCATACCTGAGGGGCCAGGCTGATGGGCCTGTAGTTTCTGACTCCTTTTGGTCCCTTTCTTAAATATCGACACTACGCTGGCATTGCGCTAGTCCTTGGGTACTTCTGAGAAACTCAATGACCTGTCAAATATAAACAAAAGAGGATAAGCTCAAGTACTAGCGCATTCAATCAGCTTTATCATATCTCTAGTCATGTCCGGCCGTCTTATCAACATTGAATTCCTTCAAGCTACATCGTCCTCCATTGCCAAATCTACAAGACCTGTCTCAGTCAGATTTTGTCTACTGCTAGGGAGGTCACTCAAGGTCTCCTTTGTGAAAACTGAAAAAAATCATGTGTGTGATGTGTATGACTGCCCTGTGTTCACTATTCCTTGGTTTTGTGCGGCGGCAGGTGACCACCATGGAAGAGGCGGTGGCTGCCGGCGCCACCATTTTCGTCACCACCACCGGCTGCAAGGACATCATCACCAGCGAGCACTTCATGAAGATGAAGAACGACTCGATCGTCTGCAACATCGGCCACTTCGACTGCGAGATCCAGAAGGCCTGGCTGGACCAGAACGCGGTGGAGAAGATCAACATCAAGCCCCAGGTAGCCCCTGAAGGCATGGATGCCATACGAGCGCGGGTAATGTGTCAGAGAGATGTTTTGGAAAATTGTATATGTCTATTTTAAGCCACGACGACGTGCTGCTTCAGTGGGTTCGCCCCCCTCCCCCCCCCCTCCCCCTTAGCCTAAATACACCATTCCATGCGCCAAGGCTGTGTCCATTTCGGGTATATTATGTGTAATGGCTATCTGGTTGCTCAGAAGCACATGTTTATGCTCTAAAAGGCCAAACCCTTCCGAGGCTGCATCTATTCATTGCCCTGTCGCTGCGCCTCAGCGTGGAGAGCTCATACGGAGCCTGCGGGGCTCCGCGTCTCGGCCAGGTTGTGACGCGTTAGCACACCGCCAACCAACACCGTGTCCGCCGCAGGTGGACCGCTACCGGCTCAGCAACGGCAACCACATCATCCTGCTGGCCGAGGGCCGGCTGGTGAACCTGGGCTGCGCCACCGGCCACCCGTCCTTCGTCATGTCCAACTCGTTCACCAACCAGACGCTGGCCCAGATCGAGCTGTGGACCAAGCCCGGCGCGTACTCGGTCGGCGTGCACTTCCTGCCCAAGAAGGTGAGCTGGGCCGCCGGCCGCCGCGGCTCGGCCGGAACGGTGCTGCCCTCTGCCCGGCCCGGGTCCGACCGGCTGTTGAGCGGTGCTTTGTAGCGCTCAGTCTTGGGTCGGTCTTCACCTTTTTGTGCTCTTGGGGTGTCACGTGCGCACCATGGTGATATGTAGGCAGGCATTAGTGCTGCACCTGTTGCACCCTGAGTTTTTTTTCCGTCATGCGTTGTAGTGGTGATAACCTTTTCCTGTAGGCACGGACGTGCTGTAAGGGAGAGGAGAGGAGCTCTCACCATGCCCTCCATCGTGGTTAGGAATATCGCTTCTGACGCCTCTGTTCCGCCGGCAGCTGGATGAGGAGGTGGCCGCTCTCCACCTGGAGCACCTGGGAGTTAAGCTGACCAAGCTGAGAAAGGACCAGGCAGATTACCTGGGCCTGCCCGCGGACGGGCCCTACAAGCCGGACCACTACCGCTACTAGTCGCGGTGTTGTCACCGATCACCCACGAGGCGGCGCCACCGTCGCTCCGCCAGGTGGCGCTTCCTAAGTCTCAACATTTGTGATCGCTGTTTCTCGCCACTTTCTTTTGATGGGCATTGGGTGTTAGCGTCTGCTGTCACTGCCGCCAGATGTGTTGGGGAAGCAGTGCTATTTTTAACCGGCTGTGCGCCGCACGCGGGCATCGACGGAGTCTCGGGCATTTCCAGGACTATCACTGGGTCCATTGCTGCCATTGGCACTGGTGTTGTGTGGCCTCGTTCTGCCTGCAATATACGTTAACAGGGACACCGACTGCGGCTGTAGTTGCCACATCTGAGCCGCAGCGAGTGTGCTGTATCCTTCCTGAGACACAGACGCGTGACAGCTGCGTGGATTATCCCCCCCCCCCCCCCCCCCCACCCAGCTGATTTCAGTAAACGCAGTTACTGTTCATGTCTCCAGAGGTCATGTCGGTTATGACATCCCGATTTTAAAACATGCGCATCGCCGTTATGCCTGTAGTCATTCATAGGCGAGTGGACCACCCGAAGGCACTAGAGAGTAAGGAGAAGGTAAAGATCGCATGCATAGGGCACCTACACTGCTGAGAGGGTCTGGCGCCTTTACCTTCCTGATTTACCATTCTGCGAAAGGTTAGCTAACGATGAAGCTAACGCGGATTTAGCTATGCGCTGAGCACAGATCCGCCGGCTATGAAGACGAGTGTAGACATTAGCAAAAGGCGGAATCATGCAGCTGGCGTGAAGCCTATCGTGAGTCATGAATCACTGACGTGGATGCGGAGAAGACAGTACGACGAGTCGCAGAGTCTCACATTTTCAGCCGCGGGCCACCTGGTTGGAGGTACAGACGACAGGAAAGGGAGAAGGAAAGAGCCATCACAAAGCTTCGGAGCGCTGGCCTTTACCCCCGGCATTAGTGTGAAATGATAGGTGTCCTACCAAGAATGCGCGAGAGGGTCTTTGTGACGAGGCGATACCAAACATAACGGCGCTGTCGGCTGACTTCCGGGAAATGCTGGTGGCGTCTTTTTTAGTCATAGGCTCTTATGAGGTGTGCTGAAACGAGTGGAAGAACTTGATTTACCCCAGGTTCCAAGAGCCAGGTTATTCTGTCCATATCATTTCCGCGAGCTGGCGCAATCCCTCTCGGAATGACTGCGTGTTTGGGCTTTTTCGGGATGTGGCAAACATTTGGGAGTGCTGTGGCTCTTGCGGAAGATTGATATCAGATCAGTGATAACCAGACCCACATCTCGGCGACACGTGGCTATGGCCATGACTTATCGTCTTGGCCGCCGGCTGACCGATGGCTCCGTTGTCCTTTACCTTCACATTGGACCGAACGGCCACCTCCAAATCAACAGTTGTTAGGTGATCCAACCCAAGCAGCCGGATACGGTGCGGCAGTGCAGCACTCAAAATTCATTGAGTAGGGTGGGCAGAATGTAAATATAGATTCATGCTACCAGAACCCTGGCTTTCCGGCGGTTCCCGTAGGTAATTTGCTGGCGCTAATTCTTTGCTCTTTGACCACGATCACAGACATCTTACCTGCCCAGGCCATGTTTCAAGCCTGAGGCGCTTTAGATATGGGGTTGGCAGCCGACCGACTCGATGCCGACTGGCCGATTTTGAGGGAGGGGAGGGGCAACAGGCCGTGACCCTCAAGCCGGAGCATAACTGCACGAAAAAAAAATATATACATCCCCGCCGCCCCGTTGGCCGAATATTGAAACATTGCAGCAGTGCCGCACCCGGACATGTACATGCGCTCGGCTGGTCATGGAATTATGGATGAGGGAAGCACCGTGGCTTCACTTGCGCGTCCGGGAAATGGGATGTGCGGGGTTCGATTCCCTGCAGTGCCTTCCCTGTCTGCCAGAGCGACAGGCTAAGTGACCTCAGTTGCTGGGTGTATCGTTAAGTCCCAGTGACAGCAACACCATAATGCAGTTATGATATTACTTGATTTCAGACGGGACTAATGGTAGCGTCACCCACTCGCAACCCACAACTGCCGATTTGACCCATATGCAAAGCCGACAGCGTGCGTTGCACGTTTAATTCATATCCATCACCCATTAACAGGCGACCAGGAATACCCACCCCTGCCCACAGCGACACACAGAGACACACTTTAATGCCGGCATTAGTAACTGAAAAGTTGAATGCCGCGGGCACCCCCAGCTAAGAAATGTGAAACGTCACCAGGCATCGGTATGCAAAGACTTGCTCGGCAGAGTACAAAATGGGCTCAGACATTGACGTCACCCGTGATAGCTGCGCCGCCGGTCGGGCGGGCTCTCTGAAAGTACTGAGCGGGTGTACACTGCCAGAAGTAAAGGACGGGGCCCGGTCATTCTCACGCTTGCCGGCGGACCAGGTGGACTTGACGGGCCGGTGGACGGATCGGGCTGTTAGCCCCAGCTCCGTCCCCGACCAGTCCGACCCACAGGCTGTGTGGGGGAGGCGAGATGTTCTACATTGTTTTCTGCTCTACACATGACAGGTAAGGCCGTTTGGGCACCGGCTCCCTCCGTGCCTTCGAGACTGAGCCAAACATCAAAGATCAGATACTAGGATTCAGAGGCGGGTCCAGAAGGGTGGGGAAGGGGGCACAAGGCCATGCCCCCCACCCTAGGGCCCCGAAGGGGCCATGGGCATCTATTCTGTTGAGCATATGTTCTGTTGGACATCTGTCCTGTTCACCTGTTCATCTGTTCTATGGGCATCCGATCTGTTCGTCATCTGTTACACTGCTCGGACACACCCGATCTTTCGGGACCCTCCACATGGCGTCTTCGGTACTCCCTATTTGAATGGAGGGCCCTATGCTCTTGTCGGGGGCCCCAACTGTTACCTGCAATTCCAGCAAAGGCCAGAAATGAGCTCTTGATGAAATCCACACATCTGAGATTCTGTAACACAGGTGAAGAGCTGAATGGTTTTATGCGCGGTCACAGGTTTCATGTAACTTTCGAATTTCGTCTCTGCTCGGACTCGATCAAAAGCACCATACACTCTCAATGTTCGGTTCTCGATAGCTCGCCTCAAATGGAGTGTCCCACATTCGGAACATATCTCAAAAACATGTTATAGGGAAACCTCAGTTAACTCTTGTAATAGTAATAGGTAGTGTCATTCAAGGGGAAAAGGATGATGTCATTGTCATTCAAAATAAAAGAGACGTTAATCTTAATTATTTTCAAGTCGAAATTTCTCTGTCGACGCTTCGTAACAGCGCTACGTGGTCGCACATGCCATTGCGACAACTGTCATCATGTAAACGACCGTGCGCACCTCCACCAGTGTGATTAAAAGAACGTTTGTGATTGGTCCAGCGGCAAGGACCTGTTACCGAGAAGTTGAGGACTTCTTCGAAGTTTGAACCAGTGCGCCACATGGGTCATGTGATACTCCCATTGCCAAAGTGAAAGTGTGCCTCGAGAGAGCCACTATGGTAAACGTCATGGGGGAAATCAAAGCTGTAGTATAGCGTTTGGTTGAATTCGCAGGATATTAGCCTCATACTCACATATCTTTTTCATCCGGGCAGGGTGTTTCAAGCTTTCGTAGCATTTATCACGCAAAAACTTTGACACATAAGTGAGTTGTAAACATTACAGAACACGCGTATTGGAAAAAGCAAGATGAATGAAATGTATTGCCTACTTTCACAGTGGTGTTCAGCGAGTGAACAGAGATTTCTTCCGCCGGGTCGGCTACTTCAGACGAAATTCCGAGCAATTCAGAAGCATTTCGAGAAAATTGGTTTTGCTCACCATGGCGTACGCGTTTGACGTAGCAATCAGTGAAAAGTGAAATAAAATGGAATGCCACCTTTAAGAATCGAGCTCAACTAGCGCCCGCGGGAGGCGGCAAGCTCTATCCGCCCGTCCCCACTACGGCGACCTTCCTGGCCGGCAGTTGGCCGTCAATATGGGGCCAGTTTGGGCCCGATGTCGCCCGGGGCACCGGACGCCACCGGGGCTGTGTTGATCTGCCTCTGTCCCGGGGCCGTCATAAGACCTGCCGGCGCGCGCGCCCTGTTATTGCAGCCAACACTGAGTGGTGTGAGCGTGGGCTCGCCCCCACACCGGCGTCAGGTCTGCGCGCGTGTGCCGGGTACGGGATTTCACGGGTTCGGTTCTATGGGCGTCAATGAGGGATAGGGAGTGGGCAGGACTGAGTACATGTCTTGAGAAATGACGTATGGCTACGGGTAATACGGGCGACGTATTGTGGGGAAGACGTCCACGGTTTCACTAAAGTGACGTCATTTAGCCCCAGAGCCCAAGCACATCATGGGGCGCCCTGGGTCTTACAGGCCACCACCCAGCATACCGCCATCTTCTCGAATTTCACCCATGGCCAAGCCGGTATTATTTCCTGACGCTGGCCAGGTCCCAAGAGGCCAGACTTGTGGGGTGGTGACAGGGTGCCAAGCATGGCCCCAGATGGCCCCTGTAACTTTTTGCTGATGGCCGCGGCACGGCGACAGCTGCCTGTCCGTCCGCGGCCAAGCCGCGCGTTAGCCGGCGCTTTTAGTGCTGAATGCTATAAACCCGACGACTTCGGGCCTACTTGGCTCCAAACTCTAACGACTTTAACCCCTACAAACTGACTCGTTTTCGAATAAGGCGGAATACGGACAACACATGAAATGTTGCTGGTTGATCTGATGGGCCCAAAGTGGATGTTGTTGTTTTCCCTAGATCCACGGCTATCAATGCCTTGCTTGCACCGTGTCTCTACTATATATATATATATATATATATATATATATATATATATATATATATATATATACATTCAATGAGGAGCCAAACAGCGAGGGGTCCCTTCCGTTTAGGCGTTTGTAGAAGCTATCAAGGGCCGCCGATAGCTTCAGGCATGTTTGGTAAATTTTCAAACCGTCATCCCTCATGGATAAGCGGGTCCATGGCTAATCCATCTTCTTAGTAGCATTGGTTGCACACCATCAAAGGCTACTGCCTCATATTACCAATCCAGGCTGAACGTAATTTGCGAACCTGTTTTTACGGTCTGCAGGTGCTATCCTCTCAGATGAAATAAATGTTTGTGTAAGAGTAGCGTCAGTCGGAAAGCTTGCTTTTGTGTAATGGTCATTTGCCAGACTCACGTTTCGACGAAGACGTATTCGTAACTTGATGATTCGGTAACTCCCCATTCGTCTGCAAGCCATTTCTAGACTTATGTTTCAGCAACTTATCGGTTACCAAGCATTTCAACTTGCTTCCATTTCAACAATTTGCACATTGTTAA